AATAATATATTATGTTTTCCTGACGTAACATGCCAGTCCAAGTTTTAAAATATGCCGTTTCATCATTAATGGGGGTAAAACGGTTTCTTTTTCGCCCAGTTCGGCTGTAAATCAATAAGACCCAGCATAATACGCTGCGTTTCATTCAAACCGACGTTCCCTGTCTTTGTTTTCATCTTCTCATTCTCATTTCTCCAAACAGTGAAGGAAAACACCTGAGGAGGTGCAACTCCCTCTCCCTGTATAGATCAATTCCTTGTAGATAGTTCGTTTGAAACTTTTAACTTGTCAATTGATGTAGATAAGAAAATTGAAGGCATTTTGATGTTTAAGGTTCCAATTTTTTACAGAAAGATTGGATCTTTTGGCACCTTAATTTGGTTTAGTTTCATATATACTTCGTATATACCGTCTTTGGCCGATTAATAATTTTATGGAAGAGAGCTTACGAGTTCTTTTTGCTGACCTCAAAAAGATTAATATTTTACTTGTTCTGCATTACTAGCCAAAAAAATGTTAATTATGTGGAGTGAAACGAAAAAAGAAGAAAAGAAGGAAAGAAAGACACAGAAATGTTCTAGACTTCAATTTTCTACATGCTATTATGCTTCAACTTACGTGTTCTACTGTTCTACATTTGCAATGTCAGCAGCAGACAATCCTGTAAGCTTTGAATTTTTTTTTTGGTATGACTTTTTAGCTGTCATTTGGTTTAACTTATCAAAACGAAAGATAATTGTCAACTTTTAAATTTTCTTGCAGACAGCATACGTCTCTATATTCGAGATGACAGACAGGATGACGAATCACAATATACTAATTTTCAAGTGATGCATTGAATGGTCTCTTGAAATTGGGGGCCTCAAGTGTGTACATGCGGTATGGTGTTACAATGCAACCTTTAACATATCATGGCCATATACAAAATAAAGGTTAGTGTGTGATAGTTGGTAAGGAATACATTGCCAATGAGTATTGGGGTTTATTTTATCTGTACTTTTGTGATTGTTGTTGCATTTGATCATTTTAGGCGCTTATGGTGTTCTATATGACAGGACTTCGATTTTCAGTGAACTTCTCAAGCTTATGTGATAGCTAGACTTGATGGTGGGATTCCATTTCACTAAATTCTTCAATGAACAGATTCTAACAAAATGTTTATCTGCACAACAAGTATCTTTTCATTCTCTTGTTACATGTATCACGTCCTCCAACTTTTTTTTGCTGATTTGACCTTGAAATTCTTTCTTATAGGTAGACTTAGAATTTTTGCGCTTCCACGATTTGTTGTCTTCATTTACCGTGAAAATGGTCAAAAGAAATATTAGTAAGTACGTCCGCTTTTCTTATAGATTCATGACGAAATTATACTGTTGAGGATGTACAGGCTACTGATATATAAATATATTTTTCTTTGTTCTTGCATTGTTAAGTTTCCGATTTCACATCATTCACAGCTGTAAGCAGGGTAGTTGCATGGAGATTAGTCTTAGCCGGTCGGTTTCGCTTGCTTAACCATTGGTGTGACTTTGTGGAGGTAGGCTAGAATAAGCTGACATATATGTTATCTTTTGTGTGTGTTAAACAGTCTGATTTTGAATTATTTTTTGTTCATCTTGCTTCAATGTTAATTCAAGTTCAAACTTTAAAGCATACAGTTATGTCATGGTATTTCATGTTCATCAAGACAAATAAACTTGTTTTCTTTTCAGAAAACTCAGCGGTATAATATCTCAGAGGATACTTGGCAGCATGTGTGTATGAAAATCTGGAAGTGTTGTTGCAGAAAACCTTCAAGGCCTTCCTTGCTCAGATCTTCTCGTCCAATAAACTTGTAAAGCCCCAAGGGTGGCCTCGCATAGACACTCTGATATTTAAGTCAGCAATAGTCTACACTTAGAGCCTTTTAGAGAGAACGGAGTGTATTAGAGAAAAATGTTCAAGGAAAAATCCCGTACCTTTGAAAGGTGTGGGGTATTTATAAATCTCTTGGGGATGCATGGCACGTTGCACTTCTGTTGGTCTCTTTAGATCTGTTTGAGTGTATATAAACTCTATAGTAATTCATGCATGTGCTTCTTTATATTTGGGACTCATGGCCTTCATTGTGTTTATGGGTTAATGGTACAATCCAGAAGGTATTAATTGCCCCTAGATCTCTCTCATTGCGTATGTTGTTATGTTGTGCTCTGTGATTGTTAGTTTGTCACTTTTGCAGGTGCCTGGCCTATTCTGATAGATGACTTTGTCGAGCATATGAGCAGGTTTGGTTTCTGTTTCGTCAACGTCTTTACATTTTACCTGCTCTTCTGTTTTTTTCTTGACTTCTGTTTATTTAAAGGTTTTTTTTTTTTTATAATCAGTTTTCTTAGCTGGCATGACTCATATCATCATTCTTTCAGTTTTCTTTGTAGTCATGTTGTAATTTTTAAATTATTTAAATGAGTTAATTACTAAACTTCATCATCCACGCTTTGACAAGGGTATTTCAATTTCAATTATCCATCCCTCATCTTTCAATAAAGTTGTTCCAATTTCAGTTATCCGTCCCTAACAATCCTTTCATTATATATTGCTTTGGGAATTGAGCGTTAGACTTTAAAAACCAATATAAGTAGAATTTAGAATATTAAGGTATAATAAAATAAAATATAAGTTATGTAATTTAATCTGTATAATTAATATGTTATTTAAAAATCTTCAAGAATCATCATACTTTAAAATTTCATGACAAAACTTACAAAACAAATATAATTAATATTAGGATTTAGGCTTTCCTCTTTCTATTCAATTTTTGTGTAGCAACAACTAGTGAGTTATACCGGTCCCTAATTCTACTATTTATAAATGTAGGGTTTTTAGAATAAAAAAAAAAAAAGATCTAACTTACTATAATAATCTTTTAGCATCTTCATCAAGTAATCCACATTTAATTTTAAGCTTTATATTTGTTCATATCATACTATATAAAACTGAAATAAAGTTTAGATTTACTTATATCACATAACTTTATTGGGTTTTACTTTTTTTTTTTTTTCATTTGATCTAATTTTGAAAACTAAATACAATTAGCAGAAACCAACATAAAATTTGATAGCACGATTAAGAGAACTATTCACTATATGTAATCTTCATGTTAAATTACTTCTTGCAGGTACAAAGATATTAATGCATTGTGATCAAATGGGGAAGAAACAGAGCACAAGGTTAACACTGTTTTGGGTGATGCATGAATGTTCTTTCCTGATCCCATCAGGTAGGAGATCAACATTCTTGCAATATTAATAAGACCTAGGGTATTGATGTGTTTTCACTTTTGTTATTGGTTATTTAGGTGTTTCACAGTAAACCTCATTTTCCTTTGTGTCTCTGTTCATTATATATTTGTAATAAGACAGAGCAAGTATAATAGGCATCCTAGAAGAGACATAAGGTTTTGTTTGAGCAATACAGGGGGCGGGGTTTAAAAGTGCTGATTTTAAGTCAAAAGACCTTGGATGTATATCCAAACGGGCAGGGACAAATTTTTTTTTTTTACAATTTTTTTATATAATTTTTATATCTCATTAAATGAATAAATATATTCAATATCATAAATTTAAATAAATAAAAATAATTAATTATTTAAATAACATATAAAATTATATAAAAATTAATAAAAAATTATTTCTAAATCATTTTCCATATCAGGATTCGTTATTACTACATCATGGCCCCGTTTGGTAAAGCGGTTTTGGGGTAGC